TCTCAAAACACAAAATTAGCTAGGTGTGGTGGTGTGCACCTGTAATTCCAGCTACTCAGGAGGCTGAGGCAGGAGAATCACTTGAACCCAGGAAGTGGAGGTTGCAGTGAGCCGAGATCATGCCACTGCACTCCAGCCTGGTGAAAAAGCGAGACCCATCTCAAAAATAATCATCATCATCATCATCATCATCATCATCATCATCAAAATAAATTTAACCTAGGACTGGGCACGGTGGCTCATGCCTGAAATCCCAGCACTTTGGGAGGCTGAGGCGGGTGGATCACCTGAGGTGAGGAGTTTGAGATTAGCCTGGCCAACACAGTGAAACCCCATCTCTACTAAAAATACAAAAATTAGCCAGCCATGCTGCTGCCCACCTGTATTTCCTGCTACTTGGAAGGCGGATACAGGAGAATCGCTTGAACCCAGAAGGCAGAGTTTGTAGTGACTCGAGATGGTGCCACTGCACTCCAGTCTGGGTGAGAGAGCAAGACTCCTTCTCAAAAATAAATACATAAATGAAATAAAATTTAAAAATAATTTTTAAAAACACCTTACCTAGCATGGGGATTCAGATGGTGGGTGGGTCTAGATTCTAAGCCATTCTGTGAGGGCCTCAGGCATAGAAGTATGTGACTTTCTATCAAATGCTCTGCAAGTAACAGAACTTGGTTTCAGTCTTTGTGTCTACCTCTTTCTGCCTTGCTACCAACTTATAAGTTTCCTTTGTGTCATGAGTCAAATGTCCTGGATAAATAAACTGTATTTGTTCATCTTCAGGCTGGGTCACAAGAGTCAGCTGCCAGCATTTGAATGGGCAACATCCCTCAAAGACAGGCACCTATCCCTGGTGCAATTAGCTGTGACTGAGAGGAGAAGTTCCAGATCCTGATGGCTACTCAGCAGGAGGATGGATAGGGAAAACTAGATTTTGGCATCTCATGAAAAATCAGACTATTTGGAAAGAATGAGCCTATATTTCCATAGACAACAGGGGGAGGGAGCCCCTTAATATTGTAATTTGAAGCTTATCACTTATTTATGTTAATTACCTGGCTTTTTTAGAGATTTGAGTTTGAGAATTCCTAAGTTCCTTCCAGCTTTAATATTCTTCAATATTCTGTATTCTTCTGGATTCCTTTACACTGAAAACACTGCCGATTGACATGGGCCTCATTGAACAGATAATTTGGAAATGAGCCAGAAATGCATTTTATGTATCCACCAATTTGATTTTCTAAATAGGGACTCTACATTTCCATACTATAAAGCCATTATTCTCCTCTACTAGAATTGCTGTAATTCTCAATATGCCATGTACTATCATCATCCTGTCAAACTGAAAATCTCACAGAGAGCCTGTGAGGGTCTTATCAAATCAAGTAGAAGTGATTAAGGACAGTAGAAAAAAATAGAACAATTATCTATACACTATTAAATAATGCAAAGGATGAGAATCCAACTAGTCTCAGATTTTTAGAAGTAAGGTTTGTGATTTGATATTTTGTTGACTCAATAGTAAATTATCAATTCATTAAATGATTAAACCATTTATCAAAACTGTGAATGACAAAGCAATCAGAGACTGGGATAATCAGACTCCAAGTCTGTTCTTTGTGTAAAATTCAAATGCACCCGGCAAATACAATTTTGTATTTAATGTCATTCATCTAATCAGCGTATTTCTGCTCCAGTGTGAGATCTTTGTTTGAACATGATATGTGACAGATATGGAAGCCACAAAAATTTCATTTATATAATCATAACAAGCACATTTATCATGGTTGTCAAAATTAATTAAACCTAATTCATTCTATTTTCTAAACTTAAAATTGACACAAAACACTTCTGTTTTGAAAAGCAAAAATGCTAAAGAATCACAGAAATCAGTATAAAAGTGAATCTTTTTAAATGCCTACATCTTGTGTAGGTTAGAGAGCTAACTAATGTTGATTAAGACAGATCAGATCCGCCAAACATTTTAAAAGATCAATTGAATATGAACATTCAGTCTGTGAACATCTTAACCTTTGGCTTCTTTTAAGTAATAATGAGTCCCACCAGTGCAATTACAATAATAGTAAACTTGTGAAACTTCCATTAACACTACTCCCCAGGGAAACATGCTTTTCTAAGACAAAGGACACCTTTATTTCAGATTGCACTGTCATCTTGATCTTCCTCCAGTTAGAGTAAGAGTTCTGCCTACAAAAGTGCTTCTCAAACTGCACTGTAAGTCAGAAACATTTGGAGAGCCTGTTAAACATGCGGATTCTGGGGCTTCACCTTGATCTGGATTCAAAAGGTCTCAGCAAAGTCTGAAAAATCTGCATTTTTAACAAGTATCCTATGTAGTTCTGTTGCAGCCGATCCAAGGACTATGCCTTGAGAAACATTGACTTATAGAATATTTTCTTTCCCCCTTTGCATTATGTTGTTTTGAATCCTTGCATTAAAAATCTTTCCAGTATCTCTCGAGTGCTTTTTGCACACCCTAATGAGCTCCACTAATTCCGTGGGTCTCATGACCTCTCATTAGCCTGAACTGGAAGAAGTTACGATTTCTACATTTTCTTTTTCCAGATTCATACCATTCAGGCCTTCACACATGTGCATCTCCTTTCAAAGCAACAATTAGCTGTATCCTTCTGGAAAGCTTCCAGTCTTTCCGAAGCCAATCAGATTCCCAAGAGTTTCAGAGCAGGAGCTCTTCAAGTAAATATGTAGGGGCTGCTTCTTTCACGCAAACCTCCCTGTTACCTAGGAGAGCTCATCTATGACTTTGGCGCTCTCCACACTACTCCACAGAGTGGACCAAATACAACAAAGGACAAAGAGCTCAATTCTGTTCGTTTAAAATCTCATTAGCAGCTGAAGAAAAAAAAAAAGTTGCCAGTAAGCAGCTATAATTGTCTTTTCTTGAAAATTCACAATTGTCTGTTGACATGAATTAGACAAGTTATCACTGAGCCCTCATACTACAGAGAGAAAATAGATATTAAACTATCACCTGGGAAGCCACTTAGGGAGCTTTTTATATGACCAATGCCTGAGCCCTGCCCTAGACTAGGATTTCTCAGCTTTGGCACCACTAACATTTTGGGTTGGATAATTGTTCGTTGTGACGGGCTGTCCTGTCCATTGTAGGATATTTAGAAGCTTCACTGGACTCCACCCACTCTATCCCAGTATAACTACCCACTCTGTTGTTACAACTAAAAATATCTCTAGACATTGCCAAACGTCCTCTGGAGGAGGAAGAACAAAATCTCCCCCATTTGAGAGCCATGGACATATACCAATTAGTTCAGAATTTCTAGGTGTGAAGCCTGATATTCTTTAAAAGCCCCTCCCAGATAATTCCAGTATATGCCCAGGGTTTAGAGCCAGTGGGTTATGCAGGTATCTGAGCCTCAGTTTTCTCACCTTCAAAATGGGTGAGATATCTACTCTCAAATGATGAGGATATCTACTTTGCAGAGTTGTTCTGAAGATCAAATGAGATAGTATGTGGTGGAAATGTTTTATGCATCACTAAATAAATGTAATATTTCTCTCACCTATTGTGAAACACTAATCCAGGTGTTGTCAAACTAAGCCTGCAGGTCAAATCTAATTCATTCTCTGCTTTTATATAACTTGTGAACTAAGAGTGGTTGGTACATTTTTTAATGGCTGGCCAAAAATCAAAGTAAGAATATTTTTGGCTCATGAAAATCAGATGAATTTCAAATTCCTGTAGCTATAAAGTTGTATTGAAACACAGGTATACTCATTTATTTATAGATAGTCTATGGACGCTTTTACATTTTAAGTTGCGTAGTTATGGCAGATATTTTATGGCTCACAAAGCCTAAAATTTTTGCTGTCTAGCCCTTCACATTGAAAGTTTGCCACATCCCTTAATCACAATTTAAAATATTCAAGCTAGTTTCTTTTCCTGGCTCACAAGTCCTTTTCAAATCTGCTTGGGAGCGCTGCCCTGCTCTCCACAGAAAAGTTTCAATTATGTAAGTGATAAATCTTTTCCTACCCTCTTGGTTTGTGTGTGGCATCATCAGTCCTGACATCCAAACCAATTTTCAGGTGGGCATCCATTCATTCTCTTCAGGATGGCCACAACACAGGCAGAGGGAGATTTGAACAGAAGAAGGCAACATAACAGCTAAAGCAAGACGCTATTCTGCTGGCTTTGAAGGTGAAGGAAGGAATTATGAGCCAAGGAATATAAGAAACTCAGCTTCAGAATCTGGAAAAGGCAAGGAAAAAAACTTTGCCCTAAGGTCTCTGGAAAGAGTGGACCCTGCTGATAGCTTGATTTCTGCCCAGTGAAACTCATTTCAGACTTCTGACCTACAGAACTAAAGAATAAATGCCTGTTGTTTCAAGTAACAAAATTTGTAGTAGTTTGTAACAGCAACCCTAGGAAACTAATATAGTGCGTAAGACTACTGGTGCCTTAGCACAAATTGAGGCAGTGGCACAAAATAGTACTAGTAGGCATTGTGCTTGTTACCACCATAGGCTGTTTTATTAAAAACGTCAGTTGCACTTGTCTTATATGGAGCAGTGAAAAGTATTCATGTTAGAAATACTGACCCTTGAGAACACGGTCTTTAAATATTTTGTATGACAAATGGAAAAGATGCATAAAGCACTTCTGCTACGGCTTGAAGTATAATCATTGCCTCACAGACAAACACTTGTGCAATTTAAAAGCAACAGTTTTCACGAAACACCATTTGTAGTGAAAAGAATTACTGACAGACAAACTTTGGTTATTCAGACTTGGGTTTTTGGCAGATGTGTCTCTAAAATTAACAAAGTGAGCCTGTCACTTCAAGGAAACCAACTGACAGCAATATTTGTCAATTACAAAATTCAAGTTTTCACGTAAAAATTTGTGTTTTACAAAACTTGTAGTAGATGCTATTTAATCCAGGGTCTGGTAGCTGGACTTGTTCTCTCCTTTTGAATCAGAGGCTGCTGCTGCAAATATGCTCTACCATATCCTCAATCAAGCCAAGAAGCAACTGAGCATGATTCTCTTTGAGCTTACTGGAGATGGAGGTACTGGAGTAGCACTGTATGTCTTGCATCCAGCATTGTTCAATCCAGATGTTACATGGGACAGAAAGAATAACCCAGAGCCCAGGAACAAACTGGGTCCCAGTGATCAATACAAGTTCTACTCAGTTAATGTGGATTACAGCAAACCAAAGAAAGAAGGTCTTGTAAAACTACCTTAGAATGAAGGTCTTCCAGAAGCCATCTCCACAATTTTCCACTTAACTAAGAAATCTTTATTCCCTAAATGCCTGAAATCATGTTGATGTATTGTGTTGGAGGTTACACTCATTCATAAGTATTTGAAACTTAGGAAAAAAGAAAACTTGTATCTGCCACCATAAGCTTTACAGCTTTCTGAAATATAAATACTTTCCTGATAAGATCAATTGTGATAGTAACAAATAAAATATTTTTAGTATTGTGCCACAAAATATGTCAATTTTTGAAAAGGTCTGCATAGCTCAGTGAAGCAATATTTTTTAAATAATCAATGTATGATGCTACAAAATCATGTATACATAAAAATTCCATTCCAGGTGAGCACGGGCAAATGGATTTTTCATATATGAAAACACAAACAGTTCACTGATACAGTTTCAGTTTGCATATTGGAACTAACCTCCAAGAAACTTCCAATTTGAGATGCTGGTCACCACCTGCAGAAGTTTGGCTTACAGACCCGACTCAACAAAGGATGAATGAATGCACTCTTACACCATTACAGTGATACAAGTGGGCTAGGGATGACTGTTGGCTGCTTTCAGAGAGCAAAATACAACCAATCGACCAAGACACTCTGTCCATCCACACATTTATTCCGTCAAGATTTTCTTTTCTTCTTATTTTTATTTTTATTTTTCCATCAAGATTTTACAAGAGAGGTTCTAAGTTAACACACCTGTAGATAATTAACACGGTTAAAAGAGTGGTTATACTAATGATAAAAGCTTTAGGTTCCAGGCCCGGAGTAAACACTATTAACAGGTAATTACTCTTTGATCTCCCCCTGAGAGGGCTACAGCACAAAATTAACATGAATAAACAGAGTAGAGACAAAGGGATGTGGGGTAAACAGACTTAAAATGGGAAAGCCTCGTCCCTATCCTCTCCCTAACTTAATGGACCTGCCACCTTCGGCCTGTCCCAATAAAATCTTTTGGCCTTCCAAAACGTTTGAGACTATTCTATAACTTTTCCTAATATATCATTAATATTTTGCCAGCCACCCTGAGTGAATATCAACACCAATTGTCCAATTTTGGTATAATATCAAAAACCATCCACAATTCTCTGCATAGACTACTTAAAAACTCCTGTCTTTTCCAAACTACATATATGTGTGAGAAAGGACTTTCTAAATTTCACCGAGAACAATATATCACAGCAGAGTGAATGCAGAAACAGATAAGAGAATCCACCTCTTTTCTATTAAGACAGAATTCAAAAAGATTTGCAAAAAATATAAGCCAACATTACTTTTCTCACTAAATTTTTTGTTTTGAAAAATATAGTTATTTTCATAAAATAATTTGTGCAAACTTGTAATTGTATTGTCACTTTTAAATGAATACATAAATTGTTTAATTTTTGTTTTAATTTCTAATATAGTAAATAATAATATATTTAATTCAGATAAACAAAAGCTCTTTGGGGTCTTCAAAAATTTTTCAGAGTAAAACTAAAAAATTGGAGAACTACTGCTCTAGAAAAACTCAGGGCTGGGCATAGTGGCTCATACCTGTAATCCCAATACTTTGGGAGGCCAAGGTGGGCAGATCACTTGAGTTCAGAAGTTCGAGACCAGCCTGGTCAACATGGCAAAACCCCATCTCTAATAAAAATATAAAAATTAGCCGGGCATGGTGGCATGCACCCATAATCCCAGCTACTCTGGAGGCTGAGGCAGGAGAATCGCTTGAGTCCAGGAGGCAGAGGTTGCAGTGAGCTGAGATTGAGAGTCTGCAAGACTGTCTCAAACAAACAAAAAAAGAAACACATATGCTCAGGAAAATTTGTTCATTGCAGCTTTGTTTGAAACAATGAAAAGATGACAACAATGTAAATATTCAAGAAGAGGTGAATGAATAGATAAAATGTATATATTCATACAGTGTAATAATATGTAACTGTTAAAATGAAAGAAGAGTTACAAGTATTAACATGGGTGAATCTCACAAACATAATGGTGAGGAAGTTGTCAAATTCTTTGTACAGAATGATAGATTTATATACATTTTTAAACATTTATATAAAGTTAATTGACACTCATTAATGACGCTAGATTTTTGTCTGTGTACATACATATGTAGTAAAATTAAATATATGAAAATGAATGAGAATGTCCACTAACTTCAGGATATGGTTCTTCTGAGAATGAAGAGAATGATTAGGAAGAAATACAAATTGGACTTGACCTCTATCTATAATATTTTATTTAATAAATAAAAATATGCAAAGCAAGTAGCATGAATTATTAACATGTGAATTCAGGATGATAGGTACACGGAGCTCTCTTTTATTAAATTCTCTTCCATGTATGTTTTGACAGTGCTGCCCTCTCTCAGTTCATATATCACAGTCATGAGGTCTACAGAGAGAAGAGTAAGAATTCCATGAAACAGACTTGGTTTCCATGGCAGTCTCACCTCTTCACTATCTTTCAGAAGATTGCCATGAATTGTTGTTTATCTGCAACTCATAAAGAGGATTTTTGAAAGAAACTAATTGAAAATAATTCTGCAAATGGTAAGCTGGATAAAGAGCCAAGACCCCTCAGTACGCTGTCTTTAAGAGACCCATCTCACATGTAAAGACACACATGGGCTCAAAATAAAAGGATAGAGGAAAAATTGCCAAGCAAATGGAAAGCAGAAAAAAGCAGGAGTTGCAATCCTAGTTTCTGACAAAATAGACTTTAAACCAACAAAGATCAAAAAAGACAAAGAAGGGTATTACATAATGGTAAAGGGTTCAATTCAACAAAAAGAGATAACTATCATAAATATATATGCACCCAATCCAGGAGCACTCAGGCTCATGAAGCAAGTTCTTAGAGACCTACAAAGAGACTTAGACTCCCACACAATAATGGTGGGATACTTCACACCCGACTGTCAATATTAGACAGATCATTAAGGCAGAAAATTAACATAAAGGTATTCAGGACATGATCTCAGCTCTGGATCAAGTAGACCTGATAGATATCTACAAAATTTTCCACCCAAAACAACAAAATATAGCTTCTTCTCATCACCACATGGCATTTACTCTAAAACTGATCACATAATTGAAAGTAAAACATTACTCAACAAATGCAAAAGAACTGAACTCATAACAAACAGTCTCTCAGACCACACCACAATCAAATTAGAACTCATTATTAAGAAATTCAGTAAAAACCACACAACTACATGGAAATTGAACAACTTGCTCCTGAAGGACGCTTGGGTAAATAATAAAATTAAGAGAGAAATCAAGAAGTTCTTTGAAACTAATAAAAACAAAAATACAATGTACCAGAATATCTGGGAAACAGCTAATGCAATATTAAGAGGGAAATTTACAGCACTAAATGCTCACATCAAAAAGCTAGACAGATCTCAAAAACCTACCATCTCAACTAAAAGAGCTGGAGAAGAGAGAGCAACAAACCCCAAAGCTAGCAGAGACAAGAAATAACCACAATCAGAGCAGAACTGAAGAAGATAGAGACATGAAAGATCCTTCAAAAACTCAACAAATCTAGTCTTTTTTTGGGAAAAAAACAATAATAAAATGACCCCACAGAAATACGAGCAACCATCAGAGAAAACTATAAACACCTCTATGAGCATAAACTAGAAAATCAAGAAGAAATGGATAAATTTCTGGGCACATACACCCTTCCAAAACTGAACCAGAAAGAAATTGAATCCCCGAATAGACCAATAATGAGTTCTGAAATTGAGGCAGTAAAAAAAAAAAAAAAAAGCCAGGACCAAATAGATTCACAGGTGAATTATAACAGAAGTGCAAAGAAGAGCTGGTACCATTTCTACTAAAACTATTCCAAACAATTGAAAAGGAGGCACTCCTACATAACTCATTGTATGAGCCCAGGATCATCCTGATACCAAAATCCGGCATAGATACAACAAAAAATAAAATTTCAGGCCAATATCCTTTATTAAAATCAATGCAAAAATCCTCAACTAAATACTGGCAAACTGAATACAGCAGCACATCAAAAAGCTTATTCATGATAATCAGGTAGGCTTCATCCCCTAGATGCAAGGTTGGTCCAACTTATGCAAATCAATAAATACGACTCATCACATAAACAGAACTAAAAACAAAAAACACATGATTATCTCAATAGATGTGGAAAAGGCCTTCAAAAGAAATCAATATCCCTTCATGGTAAAAATTCTCAATAAATCAGCTACTGAAGGAACATACATCAAAATAGTAAGACCCATCTATGACAAACCCACAGCCAATATAATACTGAATGGGCCCAAACTGGAAGCATTCCCCTCGAGAACTGGCAAAGACAAGGATGCACTCTCTTTCACTCCTATTCAACATAGTATTGAAAGTTCTGGCCAGGGCAATCAGGCAAGAGAAAGAAATAAAGGTTATTCAAACAGGAAGAGAAGTCAAATTATCATTGTTCGCAGATGACATTATCCTATATCTAGAAAATCCCATCATCTCAGCCCAAAAGCTTCTTAAGATGGTAAGAAACCACAGTAAAGTCTCAGGATACAAAATCATTGTGCAAAAATCACTACCATTTCTGTACAGCAACAACAGCCAGGCAGAGACTCAAATCAAGAATGAACTGCCATTCACAATTGCCACAAAAAGAATAAAATACCTAGGCATACAACTAACCTGGAAGGTTAAAGAGCTCTACAAGGAGAACTACAAACCACTGTCAAGAAATTCAGAAAGGACACAAACAAATAGAAAAACATTTGAGGCTCATGGATAGGAAGAATCAATATCATGAAAATGACCATACTGCCCAGAGTAATTTATAGACTCAATGTTATTCCCATCAAGCTGCCAGTGACTTCCTTTGCAGAATTAGAAAAAACTACTTTAAATTTCATATGGAACCAAAGAAAGAATCTGTATAGCCAAGACAATACTAAGCAAAAAGAACAAAGCTGGAG